CTATGCAGACAGCAAAATGGGCAACATACAAGTCAGTTATTCATGGCTATCCTTTGGATTATGTTACTCATTCAATTCATTGATACGGGAGCATTTGGGCAGCCTAGTCCACCATGACTTTGCTCATTTTCTCCACTTAGCCGCCAGTCTCTTCTTACTGTTATTTTATTCATTCAGTTATTCCCACAGTGGATAGATCCTGTACCCATGTGAAGGAATGACACGGACCATTAATAGAATCATAGGAATTGCAATTCCCATATAGACAATGGAATCAGGGGTCTACTGGAGAAAAGCCAGTGTGGATTTAGAATGGAGAGATCGCAGTTCAAATTTTTGCACAGTCATAAAGGACTGATCTCGGGTCAGTCATGTTTCCTCAGCATAAAGGCCTTGTAGGGTTGTTGTTCGGATAAACGCGGTAAGGAGCTATGTGCAACCTGCTGAACCAAAAATGGACAAATCTATAAATTTCAGTTGTCTGTGCTTCTCTCTCTTTTTTTCCAGTGTTAAATGCAGTTCTCCACATTTCCACAGCAATTCATGATTATTATTGCTATTTTTCAATCCTCATGAACATGAGTCAGCATGTTAGTGAGTGCTTGTTGTTGTTGTTTAGTCGTTTAGTTGTGTCTGACTCTTCGTGACCCCATGGACCAGAGCACGCCAGGCACTCCTGTATTCCACTGCCTCCCGCAGTTTGGTCAAACTCATGCTGGTAGCTTCGAGAACACCATCCAACCATCTCGTCCTCTGTCGTCCCCTTCTCCTTGTGCCCTCCATCTTTCCCAACATCAGGGTCTTTTTCAGGGAGTCTTCTCTTCTCATGAGGTGGCCAAAGTATTGGAGCCTCAGCTTCAGGATCTGTCCTTCCAGTGAGCACTCAGGGCTGATTTCCTTCAGAATGGATAGGTTTGATCTTCTTGCAGTCCATGGGACTCTCAAGAGTCTCCTCCAGCACCATAATTCAAAAGCATCAATTCTTCGCCAATCAGCCTTCTTTATGGTCCAGCTCTCACTTCCATACATCACTAGGTACTTCCATACATCACTACTTCCATACATCACTACTTCCATACATCACTACTGGGAAAACCATAGCTTTAACTATATGGACCTTTGTTGGCAAGTTAGTGAGTGCTAGAAACCCTTAAAAGCAACACATCACATTGCAAAATTTTGCTGCAGGTCTCGCTTATTTTATAATGACAGATTGGTAACAATATTCCACTAAGATTTCCCTGTTCTCTCTTCCAAATGAAACCAATGTTGCAAAGGTTGCCATAAGCTTTATTTGTTTGATGGCTTGCTTGTTTATTAAATTTATATCCCATCCTCCCTCTCAAAGGAGCCCAGGGCAGCTTCCTTCCTCTCTAAGGGTGGGGGGACATGAAATGATATTATTTTTGTATCCAGTGGCGCTTATGCTTTCCTTATTTTCGTGATTGTCTTTGTATTCTACTAAGCTACATTTCTGTCAGCGACTGAAAGGCGCAATATTCCGAGAGGCGGAGAATGTGACCTTTGCCACAGAGAATGAATCACTTTTCCAGTGTTTATCCATCTGTGAAAATGGAGAGCGATTAGCCTGTAGAAGGAAACATCTCCACCAACAGCATCAGGTTTCACAACAAACTGCCTTTAGAAGAGCTGAAGATAGCATTCAGCATTTTGATGCAGAAATAAGATGCATCGTGTCAGTGCCGGATTTATGTATAGGCTAAATAAAGTATAGCTTAGGGCCCCACTCTCTTGGGGGGCCCCCAAAAAATTAAAGGGAAAAAAACCTGGATGTACATTTACAAAATATAAGATAAAAAACAAATAAAATAAAACCTACATACAGCAACAGTGTTGTGTTTTGTGTAGGCTCCTATGATGTAAGTAATGGGCCCCACCTGCTAGCCTGCTCCCTAAAATATCACTGGTTTGCTCATTATGAGTCTTTGTAAATTGTGTTTGTAAAGGAACTTTCGTTATTGCCAAATGCCAATGTGTTTGCATTATTAAGTTTGTTATGAATAAAAAAATCATTTTAAGTTAGAACTTAATAATTATTTCACTATTAATATACTTCTTCTTAATTGTATTTCAGTTCAACAATTACAGTGGTACCTCGGGTTACATACGCTTCAGGTTACATACGCTTCAGGTTACAGACTCTGCTAACCCAGAAATAGTGCTTCAGGTTAAGAACTTTGCTTCAGGATGAGAACAGAAATCGTGTTTCAGCGGCACGGCAGCAGCAGGAGGCCCCATTAGCTAAAGTGGTGCTTCAGGTTAAGAACAGTTTCAGGTTAAGAACGGACCTCCGGAACGAATTAAGTACTTAACCCGAGGTACCACTGTACTTTGTTAAAATACATATTTTGTTATGTGCAAATGGCTTTAGATACCTATTAGGTCTATAAATTACCATATAGCAAATATTCAACACAAAAAACAGTGACAATTTGTTGTTGACGAAGGACAGCTGGACATATAAAGGGCCCCATTAACTTCAGTAGTTTGGGCCTCATCAAACCTAAATCCAGCCCTGATCGTGTTCAGTGGTTTCCTCCCCCTCAAGTGTGTAAGGCTGCAGGTCTAATTGCACAGATAACACACACATACACACTCATTAACATTAAAAATCTTATTGTATGTGGGTTGCTGTCTGCAATTGTCTGGCACAGAAGGCAAGTATTACCTTGAAAACAGCCTCACACTGGCTATTTTTCCAAGACACAATTGTTGTTGTTGTTGTTTAGTCGTTTAGTCGTGTCCGACTCTTCGTGACCTCATGGACCAGAGCACGCCAGGCACCTCTGTCCTCCACTACCTCCCGCAGTTTGGCAGCGGCGTAGCGTGGGTTGTCAGCACCCGGGGCAAGGCAAGTAATTTGCGCCCCCTAACCCGTGGATTTGCGCCCCCTAACCTGTGGATTTGCGCCCCCTAACCCGTGGATTTGCCCTAACCCCAGATGTTGCGCCCGGTGCGGCCGGCCCCCCCTGCACCCCCCACGCTACGCCACTGCAGTTTGGTCAAACTCATGCTGGTAACCTCGAAAACACTATCCAACCATCTCGTCCTCTGTCGCCCCATTCTCCTTGTGCCCTCCATCTTTCCCAGCATCAGTGTCTTCTCCAGGGAGTCTTCTCTTCTCAAAGACACAATTACTGTAGCACTTTGATGTACATTGTTTTGCTAAGTGGAAAAACATTTTGTTTCTGGAAAAAATACTATTTACCAAAGAAATCAAACAAAAAAACCCAGCAGTTGTTCATTTACTAGAACCATGCATTTGATGAGCTCTCACATCCTCTCTCTGAATTGAATTCTTGGGTACACAAGTTACAGACTTATTCATTATATGCCTATGCCACCCCACCCACCTGAGTTCTGTGGGCGGTTTGCAGTCCTTTAGAAATACAAAATACAATGCGGCATGTGACCAACATATAACTAGCAAGGGCAAGCACTAAGGCTTAAATCTCTGCCCCCCTTGACTATGTAAATATTCCTATAGTTACATTTGCACAGCACATGTAAGGAAATTGTATTTTAAATTCTCCATATAGTTTTCATTATTCTTTCATGTGCTGAAATGAAAGCCTTTCATTTGTATCTATACCAGGCCTGCTGCATGCAATCGACTTTGTTTCTGAACAGTCAAAGGATATTTTGCAGGCCTGTAATGTTTCCAAGGAAGGAATTTTCATTCCGCGCTGATGGGGTGGGAGCAGGGGGCTGTCCCACACATGTTTACACTGGCCTAGCTGGATCTGCAGTTGTAAGAGAGCTGGGAGGTTTGAGGACACACTCAGGGCATGTATTCTGCAGACTACAGCAAGCCTGCTAACGCCTTCTCTTTCTTTTTGTGATTAGGGGGCCCGGCCAAAAATCCAATACTTCCTAGATTCTAGGGATTCTGCTTGGCCAATCCTAGGGAGCTATTCGTGTCCTACATGTGGATTTCCCATGGGCCAGGAGCAGGGGAAACCTTCTGGTCTGGTGGGCCAGATCTTTAGAGACCTTTAGGAGAGCCAGTGTGGTGTAGTGGTTAAGGGCGGTAGACTCGTAATCTGGTGAACTGGGTTTGCGCCTCTACTCCTCCACATGCAGCTGCTGGGTGACCTTGGGCTAGTCACACTTCTTTGAAGTCTCTCAGCCCCACTCACCTCACAGAGTGTTTGTTGTAGGGGAGGAAGGGAAAGGAGAATGTTAGCCGCTTTGAGACTCCTTCGGGTAGTGATAAAGCGGGATATCAAATCCAAACTCTTCTACTTCTTTATCTCCCCGCAACCCAGCGGATCAACTTTGATAGGCCGGAAGGACTAACCACCTGTCAATCATCTGATGACAGGTGATGGGTACGATCGCAGTCCTACGTCAAAGTTGGCCCACAGGTGTGGTGGGGAGACAGTGAAGCAACACTGAGCAGGACTGAACTCTCTGCTGGATTCTTAACAGGTGGGGCTAAATCCTGCTGTCTGTATGTGGCTGTTACCTGTGGAGAACTGGCGGGCATAGCCAATGCAGAACTGAACCCTCTGCCTGTCAGCTGACATCACTTATCCATCTGCATGATGTCTCCTGATTCACAGGTGGGCATGGTTTGGGGAAATGGACTTATGGATGGAATTGGATCTCAAGGATCCTTATCTTCTTGATTCTCACCACCAAATACGTAATTGTTTATCACATACCATGCAACTCTTATGCAAAACATCATTTACTATGTAATTGCTCAAGCCTTGCACAGCTTCTATTATGGCATGTAGGGTGAGTTGTCAGGGTAAATTAGTCATATCAGTTTATGGGCAGCTCAAGCCACAGAGGCCCTTAATCCATATTCTTAGCCATGAATTAAAACAATTAACCCGCAAAGAGATCTGGACGTTGATCTTGCCTTCCACACCCTGAAGCATAACTCTTGAATTTGGACCAGAAGCTTTTGGTTTGTGAATACCTGAAATTACCAATAGCAAGAAATATTTCATGGTAACTCTGTCACTTACTAGTTCATTGCAAGTGCTGATTGCTGCCTTCCCAGTCTTGAAATCTGGCTGCACGACTGTCCCAGTCAGGTGGCACGAAGTTTCCGAACGCTGAACCATCTTTGCACGGGAATAGTTGCCAGATCGCCTTTCCAGAATATAATTATTGGACAGTAATCCTTGACGGAGGGTTAAGTTAAAAAACAGGTCCTTGTCTTTGTGCTTAATCTTATAATACACTTGACTGTCCTTTTTCCTGATGTCTCTTTTCCTTCTGACAGTGGAAGCATGGTGGTGCAAATTGTAAGACAAAAACTTCCCGGCCGCATCCACTTTTGCTGGGCTTACCACTTGGTAGTCTTGCAACGTTTTGATAAAATTATCTAGGGGAGAAAAGGAGCAGAAAAATTAGCTTTTCACCTTTATAATAATAATAACAATAATTTATTATCTGTACCCTGCCCATCTGGCTGGGTTTCCCCAGCCACTCTGGGCGGCTTCCACAAAGACCAAAAATACACTAATATGTCATACATTAAAAACCTCCCTGAAAAGGGCTGCCTTCAGATGTCTTCTGAATGTCCGGTAGTTGTTTATCTCTTTGACATCTGATGGGAGGGCGTTCCACAGGGTGGGCACCACTGCCAAGAAGGCCCTCTGCCTGGTTCCCTGTAGCTTTGCTTCTCTTGATGAGGGAACCGCCAGAAAGCCCTCAGCGCTGGACCTCAGTGTCCGGGCAGAACGATGGGGGTGGAGACGCTCCTTCAGGTATACTGGGCCGAGGCCGTTTAGGGCTTTAAAGGTCAGCACCAACACTTTGAATTGTGCTCGGAAACGTACTGGGAGCCAATGTAGGTCTTTCAAGACTGGTGTTATGTGGTCTCGGCAGCTGCCCCCAGTCACCAGTCTAGCTGCCGCATTCTGGATTAGTTGTAGTTTCCGAGTCACCTTCAAAGGTAGCCCTATGTAGAGTGCATTGCAGTAGTCCAATCCTTTGCCCAACCCTCTTCTAAAGCCATCCAAGTTGGTGGCAGTGAGTTCCATAGTTTAACTAGGTGCTAAGTGAGGAAGGACTTCCTTTTCTCTGTCCTGAGTTTTCCAACATTCGGCGTCATTGGATGCCAATGAGTTCTAGTTCCAGGAGAGAATGAGGAAAATCGCAGGGACAGGGAACCTGTGGTCACCCAGAGGCCACTGGACTGCAGCTCCCTCCCTTCTTGACTGCTGGCTATGCTGGTGGGGCTGATGGCAGCTAGGATGCAACGATATCTGGAGGGCTACGCTTTCCACATTCCTGGAATAGACCCCTCCCATCACATCAGCTTTGGCTTTAAGTTGCACATGGTATGTTGTGTGACTTTCACAATTTTGCACCGGTGGAAAAATATCTACGAATTGGAGGACTGGCAGAATCCAGCAACTTGAGAGGATCTCAGCTTGCTTCCTTTTAAAAAAATAAGTTTCTAGCCCCTGTGGTTCCCAAATATGGGTTTGTGTCAGGTAACAGAGGATCCAATCCCCTGCCCCCATGGCATGTTGCCAGGAACGAATAAGACAAGGAAAAGTCCTTAGCAGATGCTTTTTATTCAATATGCACAGAGAGAGGCTTGGAAATGCAGCCTCTTGGAATAATGGCGTTGCCCCGAGTGAGTCTCCACCCCTCCCTCTCTCCCTTCATGCATCATCACCACAAGTGCTGAGAAGTGCCCTCTGCCTCTAAGCTCTTTCCTCTCTTACTTTCAATGCTCGCCGGGTTCTGGGAGAGGGGAGGCCTGGAATGCTTTCTAAAGACACTGCGTCTGTCAGCTGTCGCCTCTCTGCTGCATCTTCTTCCTCCTCTCCCATTATTTCCCATGTTTCCCCCTCATCTTCCTCTGAGCTGTGACCTCCCTCAAACCCATGTTGTAATTCTGAACTGTTTTCTTTTCCACCATTCCTCCTCTGCCCAGTCCCTGACAGCTTAGAACTGCATCCAGGGGTGCCCAAACATTTTTCAAAGAGGGCCAGATTTGATGAAGTGAACATGTGTGAGGGCCGACCGAAGTTGTTGATTGAAGATATTGAGCATTTTTTTTTTTTTAATTAAACCGACCGGCGGGGGCCAGATTAGGCCTCCAAAACAGACTTTGGACATGCCTGGATAAGCAGTGCCTGTGAAAAATGTCAGAAATGAAGTCCAATGTCAGCATAGCGCCACATATTCCAGCAAAAGAAAACGGGTTAAGAACAAAAAGCAGAAGACAATGCAAATTTGTTTGATGCACAATAAGTCAGGTATTTTCCCCCCCTTGCAGGGTGGCCCTAAATGACAGGGTCCTTCCATATGAATCCACCCTCCCCACTCACATGCTGTGTTCTTATGCAGTAATAATAATAATAATAATAATAATAATAATAATAATAATAATAATAATTTATTTATACCCCACCCATCTGGCTGAGTTTCCCCAGCCACTCTGGGCGGCTTCCAATCGAGTGTTAAAAACAATACAGCATTAAATATTAAAAACTTCCCTAAACAGGGCTGCCTTCAAATGTCTTTTAAAGATAAGATAGCTACTTATTTCCTTCACATCTGATGGGAGGGCGTTCCACAGGGCGGGCGCCACTACCGAGAAGGCCCTCTGTCTGGTTCCCTGTAACCTCACCAAATGCACCTGTAGCTACCAAATGACATTACATTTCTGTCTTTCTTTTGAGTAATAGGAAGGGGAGTGATGGTACAGGCAGAATTAAGATACATGATATTTGTTTGAGAGCCCCACCTTGAACAGAAAATTCCTGCATTTCAGGAGTTTAGGCTAGATGTCCCATTCCAACTCTACAATTCTTTGAACTGTGGACATTAAAAGGGCAGCAATAGCCGGTTCGTTAAAGGAGTTATCAAAACCAGCCACCCTCAGTTACTGCTGGAAGGAGGCAGCAGTCCATCTCAGGACAAATAATCCACACTCGCCTGCCACCCGTTTTGCAACTGCTCGGGCAGGGGTGAAGCGTTGCAAGCTGTTTGCAAGAACTGTTGCCGTCGCTGGTTTGAGCTTCCCAGCCTTGTTCTTTGTGGGGCTGCGAACAGCCGCTCACAGCATGTTCAGAGTGTGCCTGGGAAGATGCTCAGCTTGAGCTGGGAACGGTTTACAAAACGGCATTAAAGTTTTCTTTTTTAAAAAAATAATAATAATTCGTAAAGTCATGAAGATCTGCAAATGCTGAAGGTGCTAAAGCTTATTCGTACAAAAGGTTTGCTTACAGGCGAGGCCCTTCTTTTCTACAACAAGATTAGGAATGTGGAGAGGGGGAGAGAGAGATGCCACGTTGTCAAATGCTAAATGCAAGAGCCGCTTTAATTAAAAACAAGAGAATCGACTGACCTTGCCTCTTGTCTGGAAAGACAAATCTGCCCGGTGGAGGATTCCTACCATAGCACAACGCCTGGATATTAAGGAAGTGGACCCAGAAGGAAACGTTTGCGAGCCAGTTTCTCTGAATACATGGCATGTTTTATTTGCAGGAAACTGAGCGCCTCTTTCAATGCCTAGTTGAAAGAAAACGGTCAAGTTGCATGGCCAAGGGCTGTGGAAATTAATGCACAAAGAGAGCGGGGAGAGAAAAGAAAATTCTCTCGGAGAGAAAAGGCAGAGAGGCTTTTCCTGAAAAGGGGAGTGCTTAGGAGTCTTGGTGTCTGGTTTCTGGAGAGAGGGGGAAGGAGGGTGGTGGTGGAGTGAGGAAGCGGTTTCTAGGGAATCCCGCTTTTGCACAGAGATGAGCATGTAGTGGAACTGGGAGGCATAAGGAAACCTTCTCTGCTTGTGTATCTATCTGCTGGCTCCTGAGTTACTTGCATTTGGAGGAATCCGAAGAGAATAAAACAGGCAGGTTACTCTTCCCCATAAAACACTAAGCATAAGTACCCAGAAGGAAGTGCCACAGAGTTGCACAAATCTTACTCATGGGAAAGTGGGCATAGGATTTCAGCCATCGGGCGCTTTCTGCATTGCCCAGAATGTTTTAACGTGGGCTGGAAAATAGAAAGGCATTTGCACAAAGAGCATGAGCGAGGGAGGTGCGGATTTCAGTGCCCGAGTGAAAAATACCATTTATATGATAACAGCATGTTCTGGCTCCAGAACAATTCAGAACCGAGCAAAGTGATCCACTATTCTGATGTCCAGCTGTGTACGCAAGCAACTACAACCAGGGTTTAATTTTAGCCAGGATTTAGACAATGCCAAGACTCAGTGGAACACAGTGATTCTACATAAGAGAAAATGCCTTTGAGCATGTGCAGAGTGCAGTTTTCTCACAACGAAAGAACCACAGCTGGTATTAAAGAATGCTGCTTCCAGATCATGCCTTGTGGTCCTCATCCCAGGAACAAGGTCTGTTGCCATGAGATGTAATAGAGGACATCATTTATATATCATATATATATATATATATATATATATATATATGCTCACTCTTCACCTCAAACTCTGTAACAAAATCCACCCTGCACTCTGGGACAAATGCAAACAACTAGCCGTCTGGAGAGCTGAAACTGAGACCTCACATAAGACAGACACACACACCAACAAACTCCACAAACTAGAGAAACGCCAGAAGCCCAGCCACCCTCCACAACAACCCATGAAACAAACAGTACATAACATATCAGACAGGATCCTCACCTCAACTGAAACCAAAGTACTCTCCAAAGGTTTCAACTTTGCAGTCGCCCCGAGACGCATCCCCACGGAAAACATCATATGCGGAGTCGAAGCTAGCCTAACCAAAATCAACCCAGATGAAGCCAATAAAATCAGACTTGAAGTCACCAACATCCTCTGCTCCAGCAAACCACCCAGAAGCAATTTACACAAAGAAGAACAGAAAGCACTCACCAACCTGAGGAAAGACAACAACATAATCATTCTCCCAGCAGACAAAGGTAATGCCACTGTTGTGATGAACACATCGGACTACCAAGCAAAACTATCAAATCTACTCCAAGACCCTACCTACCAACCTATAAAAACAGATCCCACCACCTATCTGGAAAAAACCACCAAATCCAAAATAAAAGCCTCTCCTATCAGTGAAGAAATCCAGCTAAGAATCATCCCCAGAGAAAAATCATCCAGATGCCCCAAACTCTACGGCCTCCCCAAGATACACAAAGAAGGAACACCACTCAGACCAATAGTCAGCTCCATAGGCTCACCTCTACAAAATCTCGCTAAATTTCTCGCTAAGCAACTTCAGCCCTATGCAGAATCCATCTCTTCACACGTTACAAACTCCTTCCAGTTCATAGAAACAATAAAGAAGCAAAACCTACATCCCAATGACCTACTTGTGAGCTTCGATGTTGTATCTCTCTTCACACAAGTGCCCATTAATGAAGCCTTGACAGCCATTCAAAACAAATACAATCCCCCCGAATACATCCTGGACCTGACCAACCACTGCCTAACCAACACGTACTTCATCCACAATGGACAAAGATACAAACAGATAGAAGGAGCACCTATGGGATCACCACTCTCACCGGTCATCGCAAACCTGTACATGGAACACTTTGAAACCAATGCTTTAGACAAGTCAGAACACAAACCCAAACTTTGGCTCAGATATGTTGACGACACCTTTGTAATCTGGCCACACGGGAAGGAAAAACTAGATAGCTTCCTCACACATCTCAACAGCCTACACCCCAAAATACAATTCACTATGGAAATAGAAGCCAACAACCAACTTCCCTTCCTTGACGTCCTAATCTACAAAAAACCTGATGGCTCCCTAGGACACACTATCTACCGGAAAAAAACACACACCAACCGCTACTTACATGCACAATCACACCACCACCCTGCACAAATAAACTCCGTAGCCAAGACTCTCATCTCCAGAACCAAACGCCTGGCTGACAAAGACCACTTGACAACTGAGTTACAGAATCTCTCCAATGTGTTAATCGCCAATGGATACCAGCAAAACAGGGTTACGAAGCTAATGCAAAAAGAAACACCCCCCAAAAACCAAGACACAGAAGAAAACAATGGCATGGCCCTCCTTCCTTATATCAAGGGCACTACAGATAAAATTAGCAAAATCCTCCATAAACACAATATCAAAACAGCCTTTTGCACCAACCAAAAAATAGCCAATATCCTCAGAAACCCCAAGGATAAAATCCAGTTGGAAAACCAAGGGGTCTATGAAATACCCTGCAAAGTCTGCCCAGCCACGTACATTGGACAAACAAACAGACGAATAAATGCACGTATCGCAGAACACAAGAATGCCGTCAAAAAAGAAGAAAAAACTTCCTCTCTTTTCCAACACATGAAAGAAACAGGACACGAAATTAATTTTGCAGATTCCAAATTGCTCTCTAACATGGAACATCACCACAAGAGAATAATCATGGAAGCCATCGAGATAGAGAAACACCCTCACAACATGAACAAGCGTGACGACACATCCCGCCTGCCAGACATCTGGAAATTAGCCCTCCCCACAAAAACCGACACCAGATCCAGAGGCACACAGAACGCCATCACCAATCAACCACACCAGACCCAAACCCAGACCCTCTCCACAGATAAATTACAGACACCATCCAGTAGCCAAACCATGGTGGCACCTCCGGATGCTGCACCCCCCTGCAATCCCTACACAGATCTGGCTGGCACAGGACACAAAACCACAGCTCGCCCCTATACACGAAGCCAAGCCAGAGCACAACTAATTGCAGTACAGCCATCTTCTCAGAAAAACTCTTCACAAAGTTCAAGAGGTCAAGACACGAAGGCTTTAGCAACTAATCCACACCTAATGACCCACCTAAGTGGTACTCAGGATATCACTCAAGAAATCACTCAAGATATCCCTCAAGTAATTAAGGAACAAAAGAAGAAAAGGCACACTAACCTGGGAACTTCCTCTCTGCCCAGAACATTGGAGGCTATACACCACACCCCCTCAACAGTATTTATAGGAACTCAAACACTGAGATCCTGCTCTGTTCCAGTAACAAGAAGCCGAAAGCACCAGCCTGAAGATGACGAGTGAGACCTCGTCGAAACGTCGCCTAGACACCCCAACTTTTACACGGGAAGACACCCGAGGACACCAAAACCTGCATATATATATATATATATATATATAGCCACATGATTGAAAACAAATCCTTTTCTGTTTGCCTTTTACTAGACCATGAATTTTCAGTTAAATTTTCAGCAATAGCAATGGACCAGACTTGACTGTACGATGAATCCTTATTTAACCCCTCTGAATATTTGCCCTTTCTTACATTAACCATCCTGGCTCCTAAAAATAAACATTGAGCCAATCCTTTATCCAATGTGTTGTTCATATCCCCAGTAATGTTAGCGAGGGGACTGGTATCAGTTCTTTTTTTGTTATTAAATTAATTTCTATGAACGCCGCCTTCCCAAAAGCTGACATAACACTTCATTCTTCATATATATTTTCATGGTGAATGGATAGTTTGAACAGGGCAGGGTGAAAGGGCATGGGAGTAATGAAGGTTTTGAATGATCTGGAACATGTTTGTTGTGATTCGAGGACCTGTCCCCCGCTTGGGAATAATAAAAACGTGTGGACACAGTATATTAGGTTAATGGGCGAGAAAAGGCCACAACTTTATTGATTACAGCATGTGAGAGGTATTTGCTTAGGCATTTGTTGTTGTTTAGTCGTTTAGTCGTGTCTGACTCTTCGTGACCCCATGGACCAGAGCACGCCAGGCACCTCTGTCCTCCACTACCTCCCGCAGTTTGGTCAAACTCATGCTGGTAACCTCGAAAACACTATCCAACCATCTCGTCCTCTGTCGCCCCCTTCTCCTTGTGCCCTCCATCTTTCCCAGCATCAGTGTCTTCTCCAGGGAGTCTTCTCTTCTCATGAGGTGGCCAAAGTATTGGAGCCTCAGCTTCACGATCTGTCCTTCCAGTGAGCACTCAGGGCTGATTTCCTTAAGAATGGATGCGTTTGATCTTCTTGCAGCCCATGGGACTCTCAAGAGTCTCCTCCAGCACCATAATCCAAAAGCATCAATTCTTCGGCGATCAGCCTTCTTTATGGCACAGCTCTCACTTCCATACATCACTACTGGGAAAACCATAGCTTTAACTATACGGACCTTAACTACCGTATACGGCTTAGGCATTGGACAACAGCAAATGTTGACTCCACCCACTCGGAAAGGGGTGAGTCAGACAGGGGTTAACCACCTGTAGGGGGAGCCTGTTGATGCAAATACAACTATAAGCTCTCCCCTGATGTCACCGGGGGTCGTGGCATAGCCCCCAGCCACACAGGGCATTGGACAGGATCCACGACCGCCGGATTCCTTTAACGGAATACCCAAAAGTGAAGGGGTAGGCGATGGCCACACCTTCCCCTTCCACACACCAACAACACATTCCAATGCCTAACCGCCAAATGCCGAGAAAGTTGTGACGATTGCTACGAGGTAGGCGAAAAAAACCAAGAGGCCGGTGCCAATTTGCAGACGATAAGAAGATCTTTCCAAGAACGTCTTGCCAGAAGCTTATTATCAGTCCCCAATTTCTCTAATAACTATTTAATGGCTTAAGCGAAACGCTCTGACAAAAGGTATTAAAAGCAAGATGTCGGGGTTGAGAAAGGGAAATTTCTCAAGGGCT